AGTCTCCATCACTTGCACCTCCAGCTCCTCTGCTGCATCCCACCGCCCTTGCTTCCGGTAAGTCGACGCCAGATCAGCCATGCTGGTCAGCGTGTAAGGATGGTCTGCTCCTAGTTTCTTCTTGCTCGTCTCCATTACTTGCGCCCTCAGCTTTCCAGCCGCGTCCCATCGTCCACTAAGTGAGTAAGCATGTGCCACCATTGCAATGCTCCATACTGTGTCCTCATGCTCTCGCCCTAAGACCATCTTTCGTACCTTCATTGACTGTATTGCTAGGCTTTCTGCTTCTGCTGCGCTTCCTTTGCTCTTTGCATACCATGCTGCACGATATAGTAGCGTAGCCCACTCTATTAGCGAGGATGTCGCTTCTGGCTTCTGGCCAGCTGCCGCCTTAGCGTGTGCGAACAGCGCTTGACAGGCTGCCCAGTTCTCATACTTTCCTGTCGGGAACGCTGCGCAAAGGCTAGTGATAAACACCTGCTTCCATTGCTCAAGTTTGCCGTTTGCAAAAAGCCATCTCCTTGTTGCAAGCTGCACGAGACTGTGCATTTCGAAAGTAGCGTGATCTGTATTAATAGAGATAAGGCAGAGATCGCGCAGCGCCGCTATGTCGTTCTCAAATTTCCTCCCATCGCTATTGTCATCGCCATCGCTTTCTTTGTGCTGTCGCTGGGCCTTAGGCTGACTCTGTATACGGCTGAAGAGAAGCCTAAAACGCTGCCTCGTTGACCTTTCCCTCCTCTCCGGAGCTGTGCTAGCCCTATCTACTTCTTGGCCGCCGCGGATGAGTGATTCTGGAATTCCCTGCCGGTCGAAGAAGCTCATTAGTGAGAGCAGCTCAGCTGCTGACGGTTTATATCGTCGCAAGTGCTCGAATGATATTTGCCATGTAATAATGATGGAGTTTTTAGCCTCTTTGTCTCTTCGAAGATGTCCTGCTTCGTGGTTTAGCAGGCTTGTCATTCCGCCGTCGCTGCGCCTAAATTCTTCTAGGTACCGTGCCACTGAGCAACGAGGTGCGCTTCGCACGATATATGCAGCAGCCTGTGTAATAGCGAGCGGTATGTACTCGAGCGCTGCAGCCAGCTCCGCCAGCTCCGGCAGCTCAGCATCATTGCTCTTGTCCGGTTGCACTCCCTGCTTCTTTCCAAGCAGCGCCAGCGACTGCGCCTCATCCATCGGGCCCAGCGTGATGATGTCGCGCTGCTCTACCAGCTTCCTCGCTGCTTCTTTGCTTCTCGATGTGATAAGCATCGAGCCGTGCTCGCAGTGGGGGAGGTACTCGCGCAGCGGTCTAGCTGCGGTCTTGGAGCTGGCAGGTTGGGCCTCGAGTAGAAAGCTGGCATCGTCCACGTTGTCTAGCACGAGCAGCCATGGCTGCTTGCTGTCGCACAGCCAGTCGTGCACCAGTTTGAAGATGTTGGCTTGCGAATCTTGACGTCCTACAATCCTGACGCGGTCGGCAATATCGTAAAAGCTCTGCTCCAGCCGGGCGGCGTTGCTAGCGTGGGCCCATAACACCCATGTTTCTGACGACTGCTCGCGCGTGCGGTAGGCATGCTCGATCGCTAGCTGTGACTTACTGCGCATCTGTCAGTGTATCGTGCTCCGTGTCCAAGAAGCGCTTGTGCTGCTTACCCTACCCCGCCCAGTCCGACGAGCGCTATCCTTGCATTTGGCTGCGTGCATCGCTCACGGAACTCGTCGAGCAGTGTGCCTCTGTCGACAAAATCTGCGTCTCGGGAGAAAGGTATCACGATGGATGGCTGTGGTGGAGTTTCGCGTCGCTCTAGGCGGAGGCCCGCAGGTTAGCGCTGGGTCTGGCGCTGTTACACTCGGATCGTCTCGCAACTCACCAGGCGGAAGGTTGATCATAGGGTTTACATCACCATTAATAATGCCGGCCTCGACGCCATAGTTCATATCGCCAAAGGATGCCGTTAGCGCCATAGTGTAGCTGTAAGGTATGCGATAGTCGAGTAGGCTGTCTGTAGTAACAGTCCAGTCGTACCCAGCCTCATGTGATCAGCTCTCGGCTCTCAGCCCCAGCTTCCCCTCATACAAATTCTGTCAGCTAACAAGCTTTGCTCTATCCTCTTTCCCCCTAAGTCTGACTTCTACTTCAGCATTTCTACCCTTGCTGATTCCTCAATCGCCGTCAGACCCACAATGGCCGACCCACTTAGCATTGCAGCCGCAGTCGTGGGCATCACTGCGCCAGCCTTAGAAGGCGTACGACTACTTCTAAATGACCTACAGCAGCTCAAAGACGCACCAAAGACTGTTGGGCGCCTGCTAGAGGATGTCCACTCTGTTGATGCAGCGCTTAGCCTTCTCCAAAGCGTAGAGAATAGGGAGTGGCAGTTGCTTGGCTCAGATGTTAGTAAAGAGTCAGAGAGGACAATCAGCAGCTGCACGCAAGCATGCTCTCTCTTCCGGACCGACCTTCAACGATGGACCAGGCACTCAGAGGATGGGAAACTGGCGTGGCAAGATCGCGCGAAAGTAGGACTCCTCAAGCAAGGGCAAATCAAGGCGATGTCTGAGCAGCTCCAAACCTGTAAACTAACCGTTAATTCAATTGTGAGCATAGCAAATCTGTAAGTAATAGCTTTGACTAAGTAGATTCAACTTAATAAATGTGACTTATTTGTCCTACAGGTATAGCTCTGTACGTCATAGCCACATTACTGAGGACATCAAGAAGACGATTTCCGAGAAACAGGAGGAAGTGAAGAGTGCAATTACCGCGACAGACAGACAGTTAATCGTTCTGGATAATAAGCTGGAAGAGCTGGGTCTCAGCAGCGACGATGAAGTCGCAGTCGGGCCTGATGAAGACAAAGTGAAAGCGTTGCAGCAGTTTGAGGAGGAGCGCAAGGCGATAGTCGCATCGCGGAGACTACTAGACGAGCTGTTGTCTAGGGCTCAGGAAGAAGCAGTTGCCAAAGCAGCCGCAAAGGGTCAGGTTGGTTCAACCACAGTGGGCAGTGTAACTTTTGGCAATCAGAACTCTGGCTTGCAAACCGGTGTGATCAACGGCGGAGTTCATGGCGCTATGTTTGGGGGAAACCGAGATTGAGAGACATAAGCTACCGTTGGAGAAATTTTCAATGTTAAGGTTAATACTTAATGTCGAGTCCAGATAGGAATGCATTTAGACCTCGTCGATGGTCCAGCCAGAATGCCTAAAATAGGCATCGAGCATTGGGGGGTGATGGTTCGAGGGCGTCCGCCGCCATTCCACGGCGCTGTAACAGTGCCAAAGTGACGCATGTTTGCACGGATGTACTTGATGGCGCGGACGCTGCAGCCAGCTGCTTCGGCTATCTGCGGGGTAGTGAGCTCTCTGCTGGCTATCATATCGTGGATCATCTGGCGCTGTGAGTTAGCTAAGTTGGGCGCTATATGGTGACTGGTGCAGGTCAGACTGAACGAGAACGGTGGCTTCGTTACAGGACTGTAAAACTGCAAGTGGCGCAACACTCGCGACGGCAAATGACGAGAGCGGCCAGGCTGCCAAGGGCCAGAACATCTTCAGCCTTCCTACGTATAGAGACATGGAGACATTTGTATCGACAAACGTTTCTTCTCTTTATGGCATCTACAACGTTTGGCCCCGCTAACGTCGGGTTTCAAGCGGGCACTATAAATGGTCCCGTCCACACTACATTCTTTGCTCCACCTAGTGAGTTGCGGGACGATTGGAGCTCGACACCCGATCCAACGCTAACCGGCGGGCCTCCGCCTAGGGCGACGCGAAACTCCACCACAGCCATCCATCGTGATACCTTTCGCGCGAGACGCAGATTTTGTCGACAGAGGCACACTGCTCGACGAGCTCTGTGAGCGATGCGCGCAGCCAGACGCGAGGCAGGCGATTGTCGGACTGGGCGGGGTAGGGTAAGCAGCACGAGTGCTTCTTGGACACGGAGCACGATACACTGACAGATGCGCAGTAAGTCACAGCTAGCGATCGAGCATGCCTACCGCACGCGCGAGCAGTCGTCAGAAACATGGGTGTTGTGGGCCCACGCTAGCAACGCCGCCCGGCTGGAGCAAAGCTTTCACGATATTGCCGACCGCGTCAAGATCGTCGGGCGTCAGGATCCGCAAGTCAACATCTTCAAGCTGGTGCACGACTGGCTGTGCGACAGCAAGCAGCCATGGCTGCTCGTGCTAGACAACGTGGACGATGCCAGCTTTCTACTCGAGGCCCGACCTGCCAGCTCCAAGACCGCAGCTAGACCGCTGTGCGAGTACCTCCCCCACTGCGAGCACGGCTCGATGGTTATCACATCGCGAAGCAAAGAAGCGGCGAGGAAGCTGGTAGAGCAGCGCGACATCATCACGCTGGGCCCGATGGACGAGGCGCAGTCGCTGGCGCTGCTTAGAAAGAAGCAGGGAGTGCAAGCGGACAAGAGCAATGATGCTGAGCTGGCAGAGCTGGCTGCAGCGCTCGAGTACATACCGCTCGCTATTACACAGGCTGCTGCATATATCTTGCAAAGCGCACCTCGTTGCTCAGTGGCACGGTACCTAGAAGAATTTAGGCGCAGCGACGGCGGAATGACAAGCCTGCTAAACCACGAAGCAGGACATCTTCGAAGAGACAAAGAGGCTAAGAACTCCATCATTATTACATGGCAAATATCATTCGAGCACTTGCGACGATATAAACC